AACAATCTCATGGAGTTTAAGTTCAGGTAAAGTTAGCGACCTCTCATTCTTCCAGAATTCGCTTACACTTCATTGTCCCCGTTTATTAACTATGTAATTGGTTATTAGATATACTTATATGTTGCTCAACGCTAATGACATGAAAAATATGCATGTACTATCTTGTTTACTAATAGAGCATATGTGTATTTAAAAAAACTATAATTAGATTATGTATCTGCTACGTTACTCCTACTGTTGTTGATAGCCATGGCACAGAAATAGAATATTTAAAAATGAGGTTAGAAAGCCTACTGACGACTGATTGCTATATATTTAGATGACCGAATTCCAGTCATACCACGTATAGCTTGTGACAGAGTTTAACGGAGTAACAGCTGCTAAGGAAGACACAAAGGATTCGCTTGAACAAGTCCGTTTGAAAACGGCCAAGGATGTGGGGCGGAACTGACAGCAGCCAGAAATGCCTTACAATGAGTAACACTCATAAATGTGGTCCTCATAAAGGCGATTGTAGTCGTTCATCTTCATTCTCCGAAGCCAAACTTTGCATACCGACATAAGCGACAATCTAGGGATTCGCCTTGTTGTTTCTGGTGAATTAATCGACCAAGGACAAACATCTGGCCGTTATGGCAGTACGTAAAAAGCTTTCAAAAGAATCCTTTCTGCGTCTTTCTTTGCACGCGGGAACCCTGAACACGCATATGTTTAACTTTTGTTTTGTACAAGAACGAAGCGTACTTTAATGTTCATTAAATATAAGATGTCCTTAAACAGATACCATGTTCATATATATATACTATATATATATATATATACTGAAGATATGAAAAGCCAGAATTTTTTAAATCACAATATTATGTAAGACATACATACTGCGCCAATAATTGCGGAGTAGAAAAATCAGAAGTTACTCCAATAGACAATAATGCGGCAGCAAATATAAACAAAGATACTACTTCGTAAGGAAAGAATATATTTCCGTAATACACCGCCAGAGCCCATACTTATCCGCATGGAGAATGCTTGTGCTTACCAGAACTAGCAGTTTAGGCTTTTCAGCTAACGAGTAGCCTGGATTGAAGTAAATGCACTGAAAATAGACTAGGCTGAATGAAGCTATCTGCTTATGAAGTATAATACGTATTGCAAAAACAAGCCAAAGAATATTCCATATGATACCCCTCTCATATCGCTATTTGGGTCTTAATACGAATAAAAATGTAACAAGGCCTTTTAGCCAAAACTAACCTTTTCGCGCACGAGAGACTACCGTCAAGTAAGTATGGGATAAAGCTTTTATTTTGGGACCTTTTATAAGGTCTATTATAAATAGAAAGACTATGCAGGACATCAAAGATTACCCTCATTTAATCGAAAATCATATAAATGCTGCTACTGCGGTATTTTGCGGATTATTGGTTTTTTAGATATCAAAAGTGTTAACTTATATGGCAGGATAGCTGGTCTCGGATGGTGATACAAATGTGTGTAAAACACATAGTTTTTCTGGAAGCTTTGAATGTTACAAAAAAAAATATAACAATGAATCATTGATATGATGAAACATATTCACTCATTAATGCTAAATGTAAAACGCACGTACATACGTATATGTAAATAAGAAATAAAATGTGTAATTTCCTGGCTAATGACTTGGAAATGCGTGTCACCCATGGCGCATTGCATCAATTGGAACTGTTGCATATGCAAAAAAGATGCCGAAAAGTGATAAAGACTGGTACAGCTTTGTTCATAACATTCAAAAAGTAACCTATATACATATACGAGGAATGCAGGAAGGTAGCGTCATGTGGGCCAAAATTTTGCTTAATGTTATTGTTGAAAACAATCAATGGCGGCGTATGCAAATCTTCCGTTATGTGGCCGAAAGGGACTTACCACAATTCACCACATTCAAGAAAATATAGAATGAAAATACCCGTATGTTCACACCCTAATTATCGTTAATCGATGTGGGTTTAGAAAGTCGGATTGTATGAGCCACTAATGAGTGCATTTAAATAAATTATTTATCTTCTCTATATATTTACTCAGCTAAGATAAAAGAAGAATAGTCTTCTTCCTGGAAATAGTTGTGATTATAAGTGCAGAAGACGATAGTTTATAATTATTTACTGCTCAGTTATTCAATTCAAAGATTTTAATGCGTCTATCATAGGTTCACATGAAATTCTGCTCCGCAGTATGAAATGAAAGATTTTTGAATGACCCAGGTACGGACACATCCACAAGTTACATTTTGTTCGAGAGGAGTGTGATGATTGGGAAAACTACGAAACTTTAATATATACGCACGTACATGCATTCTTACTAAGCTGAGTTGTACCCTGAGGCCGCTTAGCACTTTCGATGTCTGCAAAATCAGCATCCACGGCACCCGGTTTCATATATGCTCGAAATATATTGACCTATTTAGATCCACTTGGCCCGTATGGGCCTCAAGATGATTATGTAATATAATTCAGTACTATCTCTTTTAAAAAACGTAGTTGTTTTCAGTGTTCCGCTGAAAATGTACCTCACGGATAATCGAAACTGTGGTAGAAAAGACTACCTGAGGGATTTATATTAGCTCGCACCAAATTTCTCTGGAGAATTTTTAAAATTTATTGAAGCTACAACGGAATTTATGACGTTTATCTGATCTCATTTGCTCTTAAGTTCCTTCGAGCACGAACCAAAACGCCGTTTTATATTATTCAGTAACTAGAAAATATTCTGCACGGCTGCATGGATGAATCCGTTGCCAAAGACGTTTATTTGGACGTTTTAAAAGCTTTAGCAAAACCGTGGAAGGCTACTGTGCCAAATGGCAGGCCATTACGTCCTTGAGGACGCTGGCCCACCCGCTTATACGATCAAACTGGTACAGGGCTAGCTAAACATGTAGCCATAGTTTGAAACAAGGGCTTACGTCTGTCTTACAGCACATATCCAAACTCGTTGGATTTTTGTGTATAAGGCGCTCTTGAACACGAATTCTAAAATTTCCAACATTGTTCGCTCACTATAGCTATTAGAAAGACATTTGAAAGATATGTAAAAAAATGTTTTGACATAACCTAATGAGTGATCGGTTATTTGAAAACACCACATTTTCCTGAAGACCGTAACTTCTACAAGCATGAATAATTAGTGATTGGTTAATCTTTTAATTTAGGCGAGCCGGTTTCTGGCCTAATCGTGTTATCACTATGCTAAGTAGTCTATCACGCAATAGGTCGTTACGCTATATTTATGCTACTGTATTAAAATTATTTTAAAATTTACTTTCTAATTAAACAATTTTATTAGCTTTTGTAGAATGTTGGCCTTTTATTCCTTCAAGTATTCATCTGTGTTCAGAAAAGCTGCTATTTATGTCTGATGTATAAACTCAAGTATAGGCCAACATTTCTGCGCAGGTTACATGGGGTGACCGCACCTCTAGCTACACTCTATTCAGTTCCATGCCAAGGGTCTTATCGTCATGACTAAGAAAGTATTTTGGAACAAAAGTTTTGGTTTCTTCTGGTAGAGAAGGTAGAGAAGAAGTGTAAGACCCTTCTCATAAGACAGTAAGAAAACAAGCTTGGACGGCCAAATCAGATTAGGTAACAATGTGCCAAGCTTTAAGAGATTGCGGTTTTTGAGTAGCGAATGCAGGGGCAGAGAAGTTCGAGTTTTTAAAATCAAGAAAGAATCACACTCCATCGTTTTGACCTGCGCACCCAGTAAGAGTTTTGCAGTACGAGTTACGCGTCCTTTAGACGTCAGGATTTAAGAAATACAGCTTACGATTATAACTTCTAAGATGGAGTTCTTCCCCCCTTTTCTAATCTCGATGTTCTCTACTTTCTCTACTAGCCAGCAAATTACTGAAGTAAACAAACATTTTTAAATCAGATTCATGTAGGTTTCTTTCACGGACGGATGGTTAAAAACAGTGCTATTGAACAACAACGCTGATGTACGTTCCATTCTAAGTACGATATTTCAACACATTTCGCAATTGCTTAATCAGTGGACTGGACCCCAATCTGCAGTTATTAATGTCTCTAGGGCCGCATAATCTTTGTGTATATGGGTAAAGCCTTTCCCAATGCGACCTATTATGTCTGTTGTTCATCAACAACTAATAAGTAATTCATTAAAGGAGAACTAAGCTCATAAACGGAACTTAAAGTACGATACTTTTGGCTAGATATGAGACGATAATACTGTCGATGGTTTAAAAGACGGATAAAAACCCTTCGAGGTTCGTTGATTTGTTTGGTGGTAAGCGAGTGGCTTCACTTTTAATGCAGTGTGCTACTACCCTTCTTTTCGTGCTCGATGCTCTCAATCTTCAGTAGCCAACAGAATATAGAATGATTGAGAATAACGTGAATCCATTATCCAAAGGGAGAGACAAAATGATCACAGAATATGAGAAGTATAATCCGATTTTGCAGGGAAACTTTGTATAAAGGGCACTTTTCTCTTTAAGTTGATGCCTTTGTATAACAGAATATTTTAATAGGCCAAAAAAAGGATGTAACCCAAAATAGACATTCGCGTACACAACACAGAATAACCCAAATATTGGTGAGATGGAGCGACATCGAACAATACCCTATTTGGCATGCCAAAACATACGACATGCCCTTAAGTCTAAGAAGCACTTAAGTATTTATAATAAGTAAATACAGGCCCCTAGTCCTCTACGTGTATGTTTATTACATACGCGTGCCCTAAAAAACTATTAGACAAATACTAGGTAGATGTAACATACTGGATTTCGACCCATTGATTAGCTGTTATATTTGATGACTTGAATATGTCTCTTTATATCAGTATATCACCGTAGACCATAATCCTCTAATACTTAACCGAAAAACAATTCTATATGAAACAATGTATTCTTATATGCTTCTGTTTATGCATGTGTCATAGATGATTGTACAGGCTCAATTGATTCTCCATGTTTATGCGATACGTGTTGACGTTTTCAGGCGCTCTGTTAGATGAGGACGAACAAGTAGCTTCCGGAGCACTAATGGATACACTGGTAGCCCGAATCAACGCTGACCATAAAATACTGCCCCGATTTCGACTACATGTTGTCCGCGTAAAGGTCACAAATTCTTTTGCTGCGGCTAAAGCCAGTAAGTTACATTATGTGAAATAATAGCGTCATAGGGGAACTTTTATTCGTTTATTTCACCTTAATGTTTGTTTTATAGATTTTGTTTATGGTCAATTCGTTTTAAACTGTTTTTCATTCACATTTTGGACGCAACGCTGGGGTCCCAACAAACTTTAAAATGATCGATAAATGCTTTTAGTTGACTTGCGGACTTGCTTAGTACCGGAGACGGCTAAGTTACTAACAGAGAAGGCAAGGATGGTTGCCTCAAACTATGGATAAAAATATATAGAATATATGAGAGCTTTGTTTGAAATAAAAAAAATAATTGTTGAGAATACGTGAAATCGACTTTCATACACCTTTCTTACCTTACCTTTTTGCATTGCTTCTAACGCTACTCTGCTGAACGTTTTAAACTACATGACGCAGGGTTTAAAATATATGCTATACACAGAATTTCGTGCACTTCGTGTGGGTTTTGTAAATGTTTGGCATCGTATACTAAGAAACCTAACCAAATACGAGTTATCAAATCCTTTTTAATAATATGCGACATGATGCAAAAAGGACTGTTTACGTGTACATCGCAAAAAAGCATGACCTACTAGGATTCAGAGCGAGGGAAAAGTTCAACAGACGAAACCAGAAGCGAATCCTCCCAACAGCATTACAGAGAACTCCCCTGAGACACGGTAGGCCACACGTGACTTGTTTTCAGATGAATTAATATATAGTCTTCTTAAAATTTCCGTCGGATGGTTGTGCAACTGCTCATTGATGTGGTCAGTGATACAGTGCATTCTAAAAGAAATTATATTTTGCACCTATATACGCCTCACTGACTGTTTCTTGATTGACGACACTTGTTCATTGACACTATTTGAACTTTTATCTAACACGAAGATATACTTGATTGACCTGACATTGGGGAAGTTTTAGGGAAGCCAGTTCAACTTCACATAACGACAGCTTATCTGACATCTGAAACCATCATATTGTCACGTGCAGTGAAAATGCAATGGACCCGTTATTGACAGCTCAACAATAACGAAGTTTAAATAAATCATGGTATAGTGTGTTTGATATTCTTTATAAAAAAAAATTAAGTGTTTGAACAGCACTCTAAGTAGAACCTAAATGATAGAACTAATTCTACTTTACGCGTAGTAAAGAAGTTTGTAAAAAATGACCCATAGATATTTCTTGCGACTCAGGTTATACGAATTGAAATTATAACAACAACTCGTCGTAACCTTTTGCGCCCTACATATTTGAACATATGCTTGTCACTTGTGTAAACATGCGTGAGAGGTCTATAATAATACGCTGTGATTATACAGTGAAATGCGCGCCTAGAATTTTTTCCTGATCGCCTTTTGAATTAAGTCAGGGGATCCAGAGTAATGGAAGGCATTATCGGAGAAGGCTTCGTTATCGAAGACACGTTTATGTTTTATAAACAAAAGGTCACGTATCAGGCTCACGTACAAAAAAAGGTAGACTGGTTCACAGTACTTCGAGTAGATTAAGTACGCGATCTCGTCACGCAACACTGTTCATAGCTTTAGAATGTAAGTGCTTAGCATGTCACTATCAAGGACGAAAAACAAAACTGTCTGCCTTAAATAAATTAAATGCCCTACATAGCCTGAATGGAACGTCTAAAGACTACTAAATACGTTCCTTCTGTTATGCTCTCATCGTACATGGCGCGGCTATTAATAACAGCTATCATAATACTATTAGATCTAACTATAAATGATGCATTTGGTGCCATGTACCCGAGCCAGCGACACAAGGGAACAATACTAAGCTCACGGTTTCAGAAAAAGTTGATTTCGAGTTCTTCATGTGCAAAAATTAGGCAGATAACACTATTTGAATGCCTATATTACTTTACAACGATAGCATTAAACCCGTTAATATTTACATTTGCATAAATAATAAAAAATGGTTTATAGTTAGTTCAGACTTTCTTGATGGCTTCGGCAAACACAGCTTATCCGATATTTTAATTTGCAGAAATTTCACTTGAGATTTCCAATCGTTTATATAGCAACGACCTATCTCCCTTGCTTTCTTAGGTAAGCAAATACAATTACACAGCCTACTTACACTTCCTTAACAAAAGAACTCTAGAGCAGGCGTAGGTGTAAGCGAAGGATATAGCGATACTGTGTGAAAACGAGACTAAATCATGTACAAGCAATTTAAAAGGCCGTCATTTGATATAGGATGAACCAAAACCATATTTGTCCTAGGTATAATAATATGGAACGAAAAAAGCAATTTTTTTTTTAAAAGGGTTTACATTCCGAGTTGCTTAAACCAGTATTTTTGCGGATACACCAATGTCACTTTATGCTCTTTTGTATGTGACTGCAAGCTTACCTTTTGTCTACTATGGATTTTCATATGGAAGACCCGATATGCTTGTCTCGAAAATGAACTAAAAAAAAGAGGCCTTTTGATATTCTTATTTTAAATAGTTCATGGCTGTACAACCTATGTTTTTAGACTTAAGCCCACAAGTTCAGTCTATAGTAATGTTACAGAAACTCAATTGCAATACTGAATCGTTCCAAACTTAGTGGCAAGCATAGCCCAACTCCACTATATTACATTTCGTGTCATCTGAGATGTTTGGTCAAAACAAGGCAGCCTAGGGTGTCTGAATCTATAGAGGAATTCCAGGAAAAACGTGCTTTCGAGTATATGATCTTCCGTTTAAACTGACTCTAATAATCTTTATAGCTTGCATCGACACAAGTTACATCGAATACTCTGTTTAGTATGATGTGAAAAAAATTGTGCCTGGTTTTTTTTACCTAATGTCTCCCTTGAGGCTATTATAACCGACTTTAATCCTAACTTTGTAATAAATGGCCCTAGATTGGAGCCCTATAATACCAGATACTATGGCTGGGGTTTGCTGCGCTGAGATTTTTGACAGCTGATTGCTCTTATTATATACGGCTATCCGATCCCACGAGAATTTTTAAAGCCAAGATTGGAGATTATCTTCATCCTACAATGACCTTATTTTTAATTTTTAGGTTTCTGAAACATACAAACTGATTCCGTAGATTGAACCTCAAACTGTCTGGCCAATCGAAGCCATCTTTTTACCATTAACACATGTTTGTGCAATATTATATATGCTTATACGGTTCGATTTAAAAATATAAGAGTTGCGTCTCGTTCTCCTGCCCGGGATTTAAGTTATTTAATCTTTATATGAAGTATGGATATCACAAATTAATTTACCTGAATTGCTTTTTCTGCTTGCAATTTGCATAACTTATCTTTGCAGTCAACAATTTGTAGATTATTTAAATTTATATTTGAATAATTGAAGCTGATTTTTCAGCCTTACAAGAGACAGATAAAGGGTTAATTTTACCATACTTAGAGATTCAAATACACTTAGTTTAAAGGTATAAAATATAACTTCAGATCAGTATAAGTACGTGAGAGCAAATGAGTTTGTGTTCCATGATAGTCTAAAACGTAACAGAATGCCATAGAGATTTTGGAGCAGATGATCTGATATTTGAGTTTTAGCATTGCGTCTTTGTTCATTCTTTTGCTTTTTTTCATTATCGCTCTCTTGTTGTAACTTTTTGCATTTATGTAACATTTAGACATTTGGAACTTTACTTTAAAATTCATGTAACAGATCCTCAGATAGATTCTAGTAAATCTTTGTTTAATATAGGATACGCCTATATCAATTTATATTTCATATTACTCTTTTCCACTGCTGCACTATAAATGATCAATCATCTGCCTAGTATCTAAACTTAAAAAGTGTTAAAGTATTACTGTTATTGATAATAATAATAATTATTATTATTTTTGGTAAGGTGACATCTATTACGACTGCTGTTGTTTCGTTACAGCATGCGCACTGATTGATGACGGTTGTGTCGCACTCATTGGACCGACGCAACATGAGTCGCACAGAATGGCTCAAGAGATTGCGGCACGTCTTCAGGTGCCTTTTTTTGCGCGCGGTCGGCCTGGGGCATCGGTCGGCATGACAGGGGCGTCTCCAGCAGGTGGAGACAACTCCGGACCATCCTCTTCTTGTTCTACTTGCTTCGATCTGCTACCGCCATCACGAGCGCTCAGCCGGGCCTTCGCCGATATCCTCAAAGCTAAGAAATGGAAAAACTACGCTCTGATTTACGAGAAAAATCAAGGTGCCTAATGCATTTGAAATTTCTTTGGTAAATAAGTTGCCATTAGAGAGTCGATTTAGTGCTTTCTTAAATGGCAGTTTATAGTGGTTTATAATATCACGAACAGTGTAAAGTATTTTTGCATATTTCAAATTACGCAATAAGTTATGATAAGTTTAGTATAGTAATTTAAAGTTTTTAAGAATTTTATAAATAGCTTATTTATAATAGCTCGCATATAACAGTTTGTAACTGACTATTAGGTCATTGAAAGTTCCTCCTGCCATCATCACAATTACCATAGATAACAGGTACGGATGGTAGATCACTATTGGGCATGTGTTGGTGGATTTCAGAAGGAAAAAGAAGTTAGTTACCTCTGGCGTATAAAGATGATGCCGTTTTCTTATGGTCAAGCAGGCGTGGTCAGATTGGCCTCGTCGTGGCTTAGTGGGTAAGGTATTTGCTTGCTAATCTTAGGGAACGTTGTGGTCTAAGTTTGAATATGAACATATACAAACTTCGTTTCGTGCTGAGAATCAGCCGTTTGATGGAATGCTAGACAACGATATCGGACGTAAACACGAAACACAAACGCGTGCCCAGGTCACGACCCAGCATGATAACCGCGCAGGTTCTATAGAAAGATAGAATACTGATAGATGGTGTTTTATATGAACAAGTCAAATACGGACATGCAACAAAACCGATAGTAGTTGATGTGTAACTCAACACCCACTAGATTATAATCTAGCTAACCGAACGTATAGATGAATACAGAAAGGTAAGATGCTGCGACCATCTTACCCAGTTGGAACAACATCCACGTGTTCAGTGGGACGGGCGCTCAGGGCAGATAGTTCTAAGTAAGGGAGAAGAGCATAATGGCCAATTGTTCTTACTCGCACTCCTGCTGCCTGTCAGAATAGAAGAGATAAGAAGAAGGTACAGGTGAATAGAACGAACAGGTCCCAAGGACTCTGACTGCTACCTGACAGCTTGTCACTTTACTATTTTTTGCTGCCGTCCAGTTCAGTAGTGGAATAAACACGACCTGTAGGACAACCTTTTCATGCTAATGATGTACTGTTTTAAAAACATCGAGACTGCAATGGACAAGCAAGTGTACTTCCCATACTTCCCCTTTTCTTTTTATGTGTGTGGGTCGGTGTCTTCTTCGTTTCGATGTTTTGATGTGGTGGTAGGACAAGTTGGCGTAATAAACCCGTTGACTTGGAAAAGACTTGGAAGAACGCAATGTGGAGGGCATGAGGGCACAGGAGAGCCTAAAGTAAACCCCTTAGAGGCTTGCCTTATGAGATTGGAAATACGGCGGAACCAGTACCGTTGATATTGTTCTAATACAGTAGGCTGAGAAGCAAGCCGGCAAGTAGCCGACTGACGGACCTTCCGCGCAGAGGAGCAATGGTAGGCCAACATTGTTTCGTGGTACTATGATCGTTTCCGGAAGTCTTTTGCGAGAGATACCACAAGACACAGTACCTATTTATTCAGTAATGATATACGACTTCTATTACTAGAGGTAGCAAAAGTTGTATGCGCTAGCCTAATGCAAAGGGCAAATCTGTTGCAAAAAGCCGCGTGCTTTTTAAAACCACTTTTTCTTCAAAATACTAGTTAGCATGCAAAGTAGAAACGTTCTTTTGAAATAATGCGTTGGTATTTGTAAACGCCGAATATATTTTTAGCTAGAAAAATATTAATTTTGCGCATCTAGTTATCGGGTATGACAAAGATCGTAATACTTTTTTCGAAAGTTACCTCGACATATGAATTGTAAGTTTAACAAGTAGATTAATGTATCTTTTAGTAGGCATTATTGATTATAGCTATAAAAGCTTCTTAATTGCATTTAAATTATTATTGTTATTATTTTTGGCATCATTCTGGCGGACTTATAATTTCATTTTAATCATTAAGTTATATATTTTCCTATTTATATTAGTGCCTACTGAATAAGAACATGAATATAAATAGATATTACAGCTTGTGTCCGTTGTGTAATGCCAACCGCGAAGGCATACGGCAAGCAAGACGCTTGTGGCAGAAGAGTGTACAATAGCCATTTTTAGATTTGCGAATCTTTCGATCAAAATGTCTATCAAACAATAACACAACGTTACACAGAATAAATTAATTAAATTATATAAATAGGCCAATCCGCTTTGATGAAAGTTTGTCTGTTGATGATAGAAAAATTCGTAATTCGTTTGCTGGCGCATGGCAGGCCCTTTTGTTCATGTGCTTCGACAGTGCTAGCTTTTGAAGTAGAATCATAATTATAAACCCGTTCATTAGCTTCGGTTTTAAGCTTAAACGAAACTGAATATTAAGCAAAAGTCTTCAGCAACTTAACTATTAGACTAATGTCTCACGACAAATGCGTTTCATATGTAGTTCTTTCATCTTAATTCACATTAGTCTGTTGAACGACAATGTGAGTAGCTCTTGGGAGAACTCCTTGGTAGATATCAAAGCACTTATATTGCAATGTAGACCTGTAAAAAAAACCTGAAAGAAAAATGAGCTTGCAAAACTTAGGATAGAAAATACGGATGATAAAATGAATATTTGAGATGATTACCACTATTAGCTATATAAAGCTGAGGTGCGTCGTCTATTACTAGAGCTAAATGATAATGCGTACAGAGGCATTGAACATGAAAATAAAACATTATTTATTTAATAAAATATTATTAAAAGATTATCACATAGGCTTCACACATGTAGAACCATTTAAATCAATTTTACATACTATTTAACTTTTAGTGTCTCAAGGTATCAAATGCATTTCCACATGATCAAAATAAAATGTATTTCTCGGAGGATAAACTGAAAGGATTTGGTTCACGATGGAACATACAACACTGACAAAATGATAGGATCATTGATTATTTTTACATGCTACTATACATACATTATTCATATAAAAGGGTATTGCGTCATTCGTTACATACGCATACCAATTTGATATTAACCGTTTAATTACTCTTTTAAAATTATGCAGCCGCGTTGCTTAATTTGAAACGCAGCGATCCGTAATAGTGATGTACTAACCTTTTACGAACGGAGAAACTCAAAAACTAGTCCTATCTTCTTAAAAACTCGTAAAAAGTAATTTCATGATACTTCTGTCTTCTTCAAACTATTCCTTAGTAAAAACGAGATAGCTAAAAGGTCGTGGAAGTCTATGTAGGTGGCTAGCTTAATGATTATAACAAAAAAAAAAAGTTCTTTGCAATGTAAAATAAATTGCGACCAAATAATTCGTCATAAAATAATAACATTTAGAATTTTTTTATATGCTTTTATATTTTGCACTACTTGATCGACTTTTGGTGAAGCGACGACTGTGCAAGATCTGTTGGATTCGATACTAATGCTTTATTATGACAGCAATATTCTGAATATTAAGCACTTGCCGTTTATGGGTGTTTAATTGCTTTTAGCGCAATACAGCTCCGTGATTGACTGGTTCGTATATATAGGAACATGGCGACAAAAGGATTTGGATTTTCCATTAATCTAATGAGGCACGTATACGTGCTCCTCTTTAATTCCAAACACGGTCTGTCGCAATCATTTGATGGGGAATTAATTTCACGCTGAAAGTGCAATTACACAAAATTATACCCGAAGCTGCCGTAAAGTATGGTCACGGATTACCATATCCACACATATATATATAATGTGTGTCTACAGGAATAAATAAACAAGGATAGCAGCATGAAAGAAGGAGGGGAGGCATGTTTCTCTGTAACGCATAGCATTAAGATAGCTTGTAATGGACAGTCGTCACGAGTTATGATCTTTCTGTTCGCTTAAGTGGAAAATTGGCGGTGATTTGTAACGCGTTCGAAGGGGAGGGGATAAGGGCAAGCATGTTTGAGCAGACGGTTCATCGCTGACCATCATAGCAGTTACGTAGCCAACTCATTAAAGAGCAACTAGAAGGACAAAAATTTAGGGACGTCTGCGTCGGTGTCCCTACAATGTAGAAGGGCCTCAGGCCAAAGGCGAGTTTCGAACGTGCGAAGGGAATAATGAGCTGGTGCTCGGCTCCATCGATAGAATACAGAGAAAAGGGGCCAGAGTTTTTTTCAATACTTCGGCTCTTCCACATACAGTATGCGGGCACAAGAGCGGAAGATGGGATGTAGACAGCGAGGGTCGGCCTACGCGCCGACGGAGGCAGGCAAATCGGGGCTCAAGCAAGGAAGGAACAGATGGGAGAGAGGAAGGGGTTGGAAAAGTCTTGCATAGACCGGATACCATGCCCGACTACTGAAGCAGTTTCGGCCGAAACCGAATCTGAAAACTGCACGAAAAAAAGATTCTGGCTGTCTGGTCTCTTTCGCTCCATCTTTCTCCCACTTAAGCTGACTAAGAACAGTGTGAGTAACGTGTTCACGCAAGTATGTGCCCTGCATAGCAATACAAACACAGTTCTGTACCGAACCTTTTATTGACGCCTTCGGAATCTATTTACTCTCTATACCAATAGGTTAGATTGATGTACATACATACATACAGCCCTGGGTACTACGACTGCAAGTAGTTACCCATCTGATGAAACCTGTATTTTAAAGGCAGATCTAATAGTAAGTTGCCATCACCCTTTTACTCTTCTCGTTTTACGTGTGAAATCGCTTCTAAGCAAGCCGCTACTTCGCTGAAAAGTTTCTGAATACGTGTAAATGTTTGCATTTTTATTATTTTCCGTCTGCAACTCATCTATTTTAAAATTTCCATGCTAACAAATTCAACAAATACTGGGAACGATTGTTTGCCTAGTTGCCAAAATTTAATGAAACTCTATTTATTCTTAACATGTTAAGTCACAAATATAACTCTGCACAAACTATTCTAGAGAAACAGGTTAATACATAGGCAGACGGACACAGACTTCAGTGGTATACTACGCTAGTGCGCTGCTGTCGCACCCAACTAGTGTAGATTGTAAATAAAGACGTGGTTATTCTGTTGCACTCAATTTATTCTGCCTATTTTGTTCTCCAATTGGAATAAACTTATTAAGTGACAAACTACTGCTAATCAGATCGTTGAATAACTTAAGCCTTTTATATAATGATTACGTTCTCTTTGTTATGCTACCCCTAGTTGGCTGTTGATTCAACTCGTCTTCATGTAACATCCAGCCAGTATGAAACACTATACTATAGGTCTAGTACATACCAAGAGTTATACCTTTGCAATTACCATGTTTAACCTGTAATTATTCCATACTTTTACAGGCATGTTCTAATGATTCTCTTACTGCGCTGCAATTATGCGATCATTTTATGCTAATATTAAGGAATTTAATTAATGTCACACCCAACTTATCATAAAATAAATTGTAGACTTACACCCTCCTGACGTTTGGTTGCATTGATTTCATTGTTTCGTTTTAGCTATTTAATTATAGTGATCTATTGCATTGGCTCAGCTACCTCATGGCCATCACGGTGCAATTACTATACTAGCGACTGTTTACATACAAAGTAACTTAAAGTCTGTTACAGATATTCGATTTTACAAATTTCTTTTTCCTACATCCACATTTCACTTTTTACGTCCGATATGGCCTTGAGGAATTATATTGAACGACTGACTCCTTCCAGCACGAAACGAACTGTCTACGTTTAGTATCGAATTTAGACAATATCATGTGTCCCTAAGCCTCTTCCAGTTTCATCGCCCCCTTACATTGAGACCATTCTTTTATTAGGTATTCTAGTAGCGTCGTTACTCTGTTAGGAATAGCACATTATTCTGCTCCAGCTTTCCCGTATTGCCATCGTTATCTATTCGGTTTTATTCTGCATGTGTACTGATACATGCAGCGAAGTTTTTTTTCGTGAAACCAAAGTAATTTTGTTCCATTCATGTGAGGTTAACCGCCGACATCACCCGAAGCTCCATTTTATCGCTAGGTGTTTTCGTAACTGAATTCTAGCGCACGTGCAGACCGCTAAGGTTATCATTGCCATTTTGCATGGTTAAAGCAATTTCGCTCGCCCATGGAAACGTTCTTATAGTTTTTGTATTCTGCTGTTGTACTTATTTCGCTTTGTCATCACAGGTAATCTGTTTCTTGACGATCAGATCAATACAATTTCAAATTCTCTTTCATTTCTGCAATCACCCATTAACCTGTCAGTTGTAGAGAAGTGAAACATACATTTTTCTCTATAATTCAAATACGTGCTCATATTGAGTAACTTAAATCAGGAAAAAAATTGCATATAAATTTTTTAAAAACGATTAAACGTTTTCGAGTAAATGACTCAGTACTGGTTGCCCCGAAGTAGTAAGAACTACTACCTGCGATGGACTATTCATCCCGTTAGAAAAATTAATGGTCCACGCAAGCTCAGGATAAAACATTACCGACCGAAGTTATTCCTGTCAGTTATCATATTTCAGAGAAACAAATTATTGTATATACATAAACAGACAGAATTCTAGTAATATGTATTAAAGAGAGATTATATATAATATTGATGTCAACAGACTTTTTTAAGACTATATCCGGTACGATAATACTGAAATAACTATATTATAGGGGTATTACAAGTCTTTTGCTTATCACTTTCTGTTTTTCGGACTATGTAGTCTACTTGAAATTCTTTTACGGCTTATATTAAATGTGGCTAAACATATATTTTACTAAACCCTTCGGGAATGACAAGTTAGCACAAACACACAAAATATTTCGAAATAAAGGACATAACATTGACGCACTTTCTCATACGAAAGGCATATGAGTACTGTACTTCACTTTCGTTGGGTTACATATTTGCACTACGTTGTCTTTGTAGCACTTATATACTTCTAGAGCAAAATGGCTTGGCAGTGCACTACATATCTAACATTTAATCAAATACCTATGTTCAACGGCATATATTGAATTATCACGGTGCTTCATTTAAGAGCCATTGTATAATTACCTTTGCTTCCAGAATTCAACGTATTCTGTATACACACCTTTAAGTAGTCAATATCCGTAGAAAAAGAAATGAATGGCAAAATCTTTTCCAAATACATGTACCAGCACTGGCTCGTATGCAGTTGTTTAGATAAAAAAAAATATCGTCTTTAATGAAGGCGTGTCGGTTTTCCTTGCTAATATAGGTACAGTCCGCATAAATCAAGAACACTTATGTCCTTTTGTAATTCACATATATACGTATAATTTCCATGTCTCTCGTTAATAGCAGTTATTATATTTCCTTGCAGACCTTGTCGAGCTTGCGGAGCTTATTAAAAATAAAAATATTCTGCTTTATCAATACCAACGCGGAGAACGGGGCACGAAAAGACTCATTCGCGAAATCGGCAGTGACCCGCAATACAACTACATCGTTCAGTTGCCCGCCGATCGCGCTAACGACTTCTTCCGTCTTGTAAGTGATTCTTTATAGTGTATCGGTCAGTATTCCAATGTCTTTCAACTTTTTTTCATGCACAGCGCGTCTGTTTGTTGCATTTGCTTCTTTTGCTGTGTTTCAAGAGATGGCTTACTTTGGATGTACACAACAGTAACTCTTGTTGTACTATACCGGCTTTTTTTTAGAGGAGACCGTCATTTGTGGGTAAGATAACTTCTAGGAGCTCTCGGATGGGGTTGAAAAGTGACGCATAAACAGACGGTGGGACAACAGTGGTATGGGTCTGGCTAGGAGACAGACCCTTGCTATCTCCGTCTGGTGGCTGATATGATGGACGAGGTTGAACGAGGTGGTGGGAAGCGACCGCTACGGCTTTCGCCGGCGTTGCCTTTGCTGCTAGTTCAAGAGTCCAAGAGACACCTGCGCGATCGTTAGCAAGACTGAGAGAAGCTCCTTTCACTGATATTATTATGACGAAGGGCTCGAGACATCTCGACAGACCTCGTACGTGCTTGGAAGTTCTGCTTCCGCTACTGTCTTCATGGGCCATTGCGAGATGAGCTCTCTGTTCAGTGGCATTCATATGGGTTGAGTGTCAGACAGCATGCACATTCGGTCGGTAATAGCAAGAGCAGGGAGAAAAATAAGTAGGAATGCGAGAGAAGGAAGACGAGTACAACAAAATCGTGCCGATGTGGCTGAAGTCGTTCGAAGAGTGGCCCGCATCCTTTGCAGCGGTATCGCCTCTAGCACGGTTTTGCCTATCGTTTGCACCATTCTCTCTCAGAAAATAAAGAACATGCGTTTACACCATAATCGAGCTTGCGAACACAAGGTCGTCACCGTTTCCTGCCAGACTAATCTAGGTGTCTATACCGTTGTGTAGTTACAGGGGTTTCGATAGGTAACACAACTGGAATTTTCGCCTTAGGCTTATTTTACATTTCGTGTAATGTTGAACACAGTAGGAATAAACCAATGCCAATAGAGTGGCAAGACATAAGAGAAAACGATGATGGAATGAAAATAATAAAGGCGAAAACTTGGAAAGACAGCTAGAGAGGCAATTCGCATATTTTATATTTAGCACGTCGCAATAAATATATCAAGCTTGGATTTTTCAAGCTTTCTGAGACGACGCTGACACTGAAGCAAGAATAAACAATACAGAGTGAAAACAGGTCGCAATAAAAAAAAAAATAGCTCAAATAAATTACCTATACTAAAATTACATACTAATGATAATATCGTAATTGGTCATATTTTGCAAACACAGTTCATTTGCATTAATATTTTACTATTGCATTGTATCACTTTATTGGTATATGCCACCTAACTTACTGGCTATTATAACTTTCCATGTTTTTTTGTTTGTTTCCAGGCGGGTATTGTTGGTTTGTTATCTGAATACTTTAGCTACTTCGTCACTGCGCAGGTATAATACGACTAGCTATCAAATCAATATTCATAGACATAGTAAGTTGCTGAATTGTATGTCTTACATTTTATTATCGCTTAGATGTCATTCGATATATGGATTTTAATCAGAACCGATTTATGGGTTTTCGAGAAAGATGTAATATTTTGAGACAGAACAGGTACCTTACATTTCGATTAAATCACTCGCTAGCTATTAACGTAGAGTGTCGGTTATATTGCTTGACTCTTATCCTGCTAATACTTCTTAGTATTAAGGGCACCGCGATGAGCTATCTTAACGACCCTGTGCGATACCGATAAAACGAGACTCTTACTTATTTCCTGGGAATTTCAGTTTCTTTTGACTGTATTATAAAAGGTTATGATTTTTTTTAAAGGTACGATGTTAGTGCAAATGAGAGCTTTAGTTTTTTTTACTTGAACCGCTTAAACTTACAATAAAATGGCTACCATTACGAACATTTATGTGGTGGCGTTTTATTGTTCTAACATCGCAGTGCTGGCGTTCAGTGGCATAAGCTATCGACGTCTAGCGTGTTTGATATATTTAATAAAAGGTTTGGATCAAGGTCTTTTTATAAAGAACAATGTATTGCACATTCGTAGATTATCTTGTTTGAATAATTAAAAATCGCGAATCCGTACTTTTAAAAATCGTAGTATATTACGTGCCGTCGTTTCTCTGTAAACAATTGTTTTATGTATTATAACGGGTATTGTTCGCTGCGAACAGGATATTGTTCGCTTTCCTTTTACTACCAGCAAGTTATAGCTTCGTGATCACCGAGATGCTATAGAACAGAGATCGCCAGGCACGTACCTGGGAAACTTGTCCACCACAGAGAATCTCTGGGACCTAATGATATACAAGGCAGACGGCATTGATGTATTTTGCTAGCTGCGTTCCTCTTCTTGGCATACTTAGCCATCACCAGATATTCCACTTTCGTGGGTCAATATAACCTAAACTAGCCTTTCGTTGTCCTAATAGTCAATAGGTCAGTTAGATACCTATCTGATCAAAGTGGTCATTCTACTAGGCAAAAGAGTGCACACTCTACTAGATTTTAACCTATCAAGCAAATGATCCAATCCATTAGGCTCGTTTATTTCTAATATGATAACTCAGACTAAATGCCATCGTATGCACTGCTTACACCTCTACCTTTTATACCGCATAACCTGCTTTTAATGAACAGAACGACCCTTTGCTAGTTACACTGGGGAAGCAAACTGACTGAGCTTGAAGTATGGAAAGGCGTTCCTCAAAACCTTTATTAAATTATAAGGTAACAAACTATACATATGTGTACGCTCCATGTATTTGGCCTATAGGTGCCGACATAATGTTTTATGAATGAACATGAACTTTTACTCAACGTCACATTTAGAATTCCTTGCCGATTATGCGATTGTATATGGTATATATATATATATATATGTATATATATATGTTAAAGAGTATAGGCCGTATCCACAGTTCTGAATTAATCCGACTAAAGGTTAAAAAAGTAATGAAACCTTGAGGATAACCGTATTCTATACCATGCTTTGCAATTTTACTTAAATACGCCCAATACTATTATGAACCAGATGAAAGTTTAGTAAGTTCGTTTTAATGACTGGAGCGGCTTTGCTAATAGAAACTTATTGTGATAGGTATATAAATGTTGTAGCAGTTGTGCTAAAACAAAAATAACGTAACTTTAAGACTTCTTCTTTTGTCCTGATACAATCTTGTTTTCCGTTTGGTTGCTTTTTTCAGGACTTTCATACGTGGCAACTACCAGCCGAAGCACTGAGCAATATCACAGCGCTCCAGCTCCTCCACCAGGAGTTTGTTTCACTACCGTCGGATAGCAACGGAAAGCGTCAACGAGGCGGCCCTAAACAACAACAGTTTATTCACCAACATCAAGCATCGCAACAACAGCAGTTCCAACAACAACAACAGGCCCAGCAGCAGCTTCAAACTCCCCCTGCCCCACTTAAGGTAGCATAAGCTATGCCTGCTGATAACTGGCTTCTATTGCAAACTGATTAAAGAGCTGCTTATTTGTACCTGGCTAATAAGCCCTCGATTCTCTTTTTTTTTCTAGCTTAGACTTGTAACTCTTCACTCTTTTAATATTCTGAATAGTGTAGGTAAGTCATCAGCTGAACCGCGCTTGGGAGTGCTGAAACTTATACTTGGGTAATTGACTAATAATTTATGTTCCTAATAAGGACACATGGTAGACTACATGCGGCTGACGGCATCGACACAGAGAAGAAATTATCAATGAAAATATATCGCTCAATATAGAAGGAACACCAACTAGAGTTGCAAGGGGTCGCGTTGGTTCACTGTTTGTTGTTAGCTTTGTTGGCTTTTAACGATGACAACGACAATGACAATGGTGGTGGTGCTGCTGCTAGCGTTGATGATAATGGCGATCGTGTTCGCCTATCTAGTGGCCCTGATTAAAATCCATCCACCATGAGCCCCATCGCATCTCATCTAAAATGCAAGGTTTTGTCGGAATTACAATGCAGTCGTTCGTTAGTGTCGCATTGCCAAAACCGAAATGGCCAACGGTATTTGAATTTTTAGCCAGTAAAATTGCCTAGTCAGTGCAAAGCAGGTTCCTTGTATGGTTTTCTGTCCTTACTAGAAAACAATTCACTATTAAAGATTAAACTTAAATCGATTTGATCGGATTTGAACGATGAAACGTAAGTTATGAACAACAAATTCGTTACCTTATTCTGAATAATTTAATTCCGTAGCGAGCCTTATTCGGAAAGCAAGAGCAGTTTCATCTATTAAATAACCTCCAAAACTCATTGCTTTGATACTGGGTAGACCAGATTACGTATTTTTATATGACAGCGTGGATATATATAACACAACTGTAAAGGATAGCTAATTGCTAGGAGAGATAACAAGCTTAACGGAAACTTCCTTTTCAGTATCACACCGCGTTGCTGCACGACTATATCTTCGTGTTTGCGCGTGCAGTCGGAACACTTTCACGTACGCAAAATATGGCTCCCGTTTCCGACGCGAGTTGTCACAAGCCAAGGAACGGCTGGCCGATGGGTCTGACAATTGCTACGCAGATCAAGGCAGTAAGCCAAAATCTCGGAAAATGTTCGGTGACCTAACTAGATGCGAAAAAGCCTTTAAAACATCGTTGCCGATTTATTAAGTTTGTTAAGTGTATGTCTTAATTTCCTGAAAAACGTTATTATTGTTATTATAGCTGGGCTAAATCATTATAATGCGAGTATACTCTGGATGTGGAAAAAAACGTATGTAAGAATGTCACTAATGTGAAAAACTTTCTGCAACGTTTGTGTACGCTTAAACTTCTGTACATGTGAATGCATTCAGTTCTTTGCGGCTTTATCGTAAGAGTTCTGACCTCAGTATCCAATTTTTATTATGCACGTTTATTTTCCTGGTCTTTTCTGTGTTCACGCAAAAATATTTCTCAAACTGTTGAGAAATTTAACGACACTGGGAAGAAGCAGTAAGTATGGGCAAAACAATTGTTACTTTAAATGGTTGCAGACATCGATGCAAGGACTATTTGGAAATATTCAGTTCGATACATTTGGAGCGAGATCGAATTTCAGCGCCTTCGTGACGGAACACAAACATGGCACGATTGTTAAGGTGAAGCATGTTGGATTTAAGCTTTGTTGCTATTCTGTATGCGAGTATTCATCCGTAGGTGGAGGTTAACTGAATAATTCGACTGAGCTTTAACCAAAAGTTCCGAGCTTATTAAAATGCATATTAAGTCAGCTCTTTTATTTGATCAAATAACGTTTTTGTGGGCCTTAAATGCGCAGGTGGGAACATGGGCGCCCTCATCGGGCTTTAGCATGACAAGGAACGTATCTTGGGACCGAGTCCACGCGGAGCATTCGTTGCGGAACCGGCCTCTCCGCGTCGTGACGCTCCTCGTAAGCAGAGAGCACTTTTAGCCATTACATAAACTATGAGCTACTCCACTTTTGCATGCATAACGCATGGTCATCTGAAACCATTTTAGTTCACTGAAGTTCTTTAAAAGTTCTGGTTCTGCTGCGTGCAAGAGTCGAGATTGAGTTACTTTAGTTTTCAATATGCTAACCTTCCTTAGAAACTAACATTTTTAGATAGATTTGTAACTATCCCTTAAGATCGAACAACAAAAGAAATAAATAGTTACAAATAACATAACTTGATCTACTTCAAGAAAAACAGCGAAATATATACGTCGCCACGACTACATTGATAACTATTATATTGGTGCGTACGTAATGGCCACTTTTTCTATTGCTTCTTTATTCTAACTTTTCGTTTGCTCATGATTAAGCGTTAAAGGGTGGCAAAGTGTGTGTAAAAACTCTACCACGCTATTGTTATAGTTTATTTAAATAAAAAGATGTTGCTAGTATCTTAGGCTTCAGTCATTGGTGTGTAGGCTGGAAATAAAGATATCCCAATGCCTGCCTCACCTCACATGTTTTCTAATATATAAAACTGCAAAGTAACCCGCAATAATTCTTCTGCATATGATATGACCTTTGCGGCAAAGCGATGTCCACTTATCTAAAAATTATCCTGCTTCGAAAAGAGTTCCAAGCGCTCTCGACCAATTAAAAAAATCAAGTGGAGTTCGTACTGCACATCCAAAAACCACTTTTAAACTTCGCAAGTTATTATTTGAGGGTCTGCATGCCAAACCTATACCGTATAAGTGCAGTAGTCTTTGACCTCGTTGAAAAACGACTAATAAATGTTTAAAATACCGCTTTTTGTTACCACATATATCCATCTGTGAGATCCGAACTTAAAAGATTATTATCTGAATAGAATGATCACAATAGTTTATAATTTTTGACCACCAGTAACTAGGACCGGGACAGAAGGCCTTGAAAAAACAGACACTATTTGTGCACCAGCCTAAAATTATGACATTTTGTTTAGTGCATATAGGTTATATGTGAATACGTATATACCATTGTACAAAATCGCCATCTCAGTGTGCTTCAAAAAGCTATACTAAGAACATTTAGGATAAAGAAGGTAGGTCAGCAAAGATATGAAATCGCATTTAGAGTTACTCAAGCGAATTTTTTTTTCTTTTAATCAAGATTAGTATCTGTTTGTAAAATCTAGAAGACGATTTTCTAAGTTTGTCAACTGTTCTAAGGTTGTCAATCCAGTAAGGCATGGGAAATTGGCCGTAGAATTATTAACGTATTCAATTACATTAAGATAATGAGGAAACATACTTTTACACGAGAAGAGGATCTGTTACTGCAAAGTCTTCGACCAGCTTGTGTATTGTTAAAGTAAAGCAACTTTGAACTACGTTTATCATTTCGATATGTAAAAAAAAAGAAAGAAAGCAAAAAAGACTTTTTTATATAGTAGATCTTGATTCAATCAAGTGCTTCCGTGGAAAACCGCCACAACCCCGATGATCGCATTTTAGGTAACTTAACCAATCAACTAGCCAACTTTTCAAATACTCGAATATGCCAAAGGGTAACGTGGTAACAGAACTTGTCCATCGTCTTTCGAATCATTGGAGCTCCGAGTTGATCACGTTAGCGTGCATTGATGATCTTTAGCCCTCCCAACTAACGCACGCCAATTTTTAGAAGTCATCCATTGAAGATCTGTGAACTTTTGAAAAACGTCCGTTGAAAAACTCCCTAGTTTCTTGGAGTAACAAGTCCAGGTTTGGATTGAACTATGAACTAATTCAGGGTAGCTAAACGAAAGCAGAGAAGAAAATTAACCACCAGTAGTAATACAGTCGCCCAGATCGCAGTGTAATCATTTTTTCGATTTTGGGTCTTGTCACACCATGACCATCCAGCGAGCTTTGTATACTCGCACATATAGATTGGCGCATCTTCCATTTCTTCTAGCTTGTTCCTATTGAAAAACACTAAAATGCACAAACGAAAAGCTGATGGAAGCCATCCGAACGGCATAGCTGTACCAGAATTACAATGGATATGATACCACGCATATTAGCCAGCAGCCATCTCACTGTAATCTTTCGAAGCCGGTGTTTTCCCAACATCATTATATGCTAGTATATGGATGTATTTTTGCGTGTGAGTGTTACATATGTGAGTGTGTGTCTGCGCATGTATGTGTGTGTGTATGTATGAGAAGGAGAACGGGAGTAATGGCGTGGAACACGGCTGTAAACTCTTCAAAATTTAAGGTCTCTTCTGATTTTTTATGCAGAGTCCTCCGTTTGTGATGTGGCGCCAACAGCAGAATTCAGCAAAATCCGAACGAAACGGCGATTTGGAGGGGTTCTGTATCGACCTGCTGAATGAACTTTCCCGAATGCTTCAGCTCAAGTTTGATATTCGGCTTGTCAACGATTCGCAACACGGTAGTCGAGATCGCCAGGGTAACTGGAATGGCCTCATTAAGGACATTCTCGATATGGTTAGTTTGTTTTTTAACAATGATTATTTTAGCAGTTGGATTGGAGCATAGATATAGTGGGTCCACCCACTGTTAGTTTAGTACGAAGTATTCAAATGTGCCGCTGACTTATTCCCATGTAGCTCTGCTTGATATATTACCTTAATGATAACCCAACTACTACCTAGTAGTTGGGTTATCATTTACAATTTACAAGCTTACAATTAATGTGTATGTGTCAATAAACGAACACATCCACCGTATTAGTAAGCACGTGTAAGCGATGGTGAGTTATATGGCTACGGGGCTAAATGGGCTATTCCGTTTCTTTCCAACAAGACAACATTGGTCATTATAATGAGTTTCATCAAACTTTCAACTTGTTTAGGGCCGTATGAACCAGAAATTTAGTCTGATTCGAAATTCTTTTTTTTTTTTGCTTCTTATCGGACGTTTATTAAACCACAGAAGCCTCCTTTCGACTAGATTAACATATATCAAATAAGTAGCTAGCACTTGTTATTCATGACAACCTTAAGGCTATAGAAACCTCGGTATCTTAGGCATCTTTGGAATCGACGATTGCTAATTTAATAATAGTAATAATAATAATAAAATAAAAACCTAAAGATCTTACCTATACTAAATTACGAAAAGTAAGGCATTTTTTTACGTTCGTTATGTCGCATATTGTTGTTATCAACAGTGAGCTACACACGGCTTTTTAAAAAAAATTTACGGTAATATTGGCACAACGCATCGTAAAGGTTAACCAATATTGAAGCCAGACGCACTCCAGAGGGTCACAATTATGAGTCATGAATACCCACGGGCAATTCTATATATTGGAATCGCGGTTAACCAATAGTTACAGATTTCAGTGCCGTTAGGTTTTCTTTCAGAAACGGTGCTATAGTTTCCCTTCACTTCTCGAAGAAGATAGAACTCCAAGATGGGTCAGTATTTGGGCCATTTTAGATCCAGAGGCATACTGCTCGGAAGAACTTCATAAAGATAGACAAATTGTGATCTTAACTTAGCTAACTTACCCAATGATTATGAAGCACCGTCCTTTATATCTGTGATCACAACTCTAACTCTGAAGAAAAGCATTTTTTCCAACTTTGTTTTATTATGGACTTCTTTATATGAAATTATCAGTGGCTCATATAGCATCATCTTGTGAAGCTATATAAGCCAACGACACAGCTGTACTGAATTGATCTTTCCTCTAAAAATTAATGAATCGTTAAAAACCTTCTTAAAGTACATGATGGAGAGGTCTTTGTTAGATACACTAATATGTTATTTTCCTGTAGTCGCGTTTTGGTTCATATAACCCCTATTTTATTTTTTAAATTTTTTTTTATTTTAGAAAGTACCTATATATAACTACACACTGTTCGTCTTTATGGCAAAGAAAATATCGTTATATAATGTATTTCTTTAAACACTATCTCTCGTAGAGGGTATAATATGTAAGATCCTAACACAAGTAACGCTCAAGGACGATAGCAAAACTAATGAGATGTATTTTTCGTCATGTTGCGACCCAGATAGTTTGCGCAATATCATTATTCTCTTTTAGTGACTGTCCAGGAGTGTTGCCATTTGCTTTTTTTCCGGCTCGAATAGGTGTCTTCTTTAGCAAATAATGTATAATCTTACCCTATAGGAGGCTGACGTAGCGCTAGCTGACCTCACGGTGAACGTCGAAAGGGCGCGGGTCGTTTCCTTCACGACACCGTTTTTGCCCTCACAACTGGAGCTGCTTTACCGGCCGCCTTCAACAGCGGGCGATCTCGTTTCTTTGGTCAAAGAGCTCTTTTCGCCACTATCTCAGGAGGTAAAGACAAGTATAAGCGTAACTATTATATTGTAGAATTTAGCTCCACAATGTTTAGCATGGAGGCCTTTCTGGAGCTTAGCATGGAGGATCTAAGTAAGGTTATCATACCGCTCCTTAAATTGTCAAAACGGTTTGCACAAAACTACCTAGTGGTTAAATGATTTACCTCGGTATAGTTCGTCGCTTTATTGTCCTAACTCGTCCAATAAATGTATATGCCGTTAGGAAACTTGTTTTTAGTTATAGAAGTTGTACATGAAGTACATTGCTTGTGACACGTTTTTATTTAGATCGCTGAGGCTACAAACAAGTTATAAGAATTATTTAGGATAGACGTTGTGTATATGGCGAGGACTCGATAGCTAAAGGTACTCCTGGAAAGTTTCGGTCTGGCATTTGCGATATGAAGAACGCGTCGCACTCGGTTTTCCGACTTCGACGAGGCTCGCCTCAAACTAGTAATTTTACTATTTTAGATTTTTAAACTGTTCCCTTAGATCGAAGTTATTGGACAAAATAAAGCAGGTAAATGTGATCGAAAATGTTGGTTTGGTACCCAAAATATGTATTGCTGGTGGTCGGACGGATATAAAGGTAGCTGTTTTACACATGGTTTAACTATTATTTGCTTGCTGATGGTAATTGACATAATCGATTTATATAATGAAAAGACAAAAACGATAGGTTTTGCTTGCGGTTCGAAATTTCAAATGATTTTTGTTGCTTACATGTTCTAGTGGTAAACACCAATTTTTAGCTTGTACAAATTTATATAATCAATCGCCGTTAGTAGTTGCAATCTATTTCTACGTATGTATTTCCATAAGTTGAGCGAATACTTCTGGCGTAAGTTTGAGAATACAGTCAAACGCTGTCACAGTTGCGAGTAGTACCACACTGCGTCCTCTATTCAATAAGCATAACAACTTTGATGTACAATACTTATTTCCACCGTCACAGAGTGCCCTATAAATCAAAAACTAAGTAAGGCGAATAGGCATGGACGTGTCGTAACAACAAGAAAGGAAAACCTGCTTTTCAGATTTTTGGTTAAATTTGGGTCTTATCTATTATCGTCTTCGAAATCCATACAACTGCTTGTGGACATATATTTGTCTGCTTATCATAATAAGTGACTTCCCGTTCATAAGCACAGAGACATTTTCTGGTCGCTGCTAAATAAAGTATTCAAACAAGATATATAAACATGCTCAAACCTTTATCATCTTATGCAAGATATCTATTATAAGATACTAGCACCAAATGGTAAAACAAAGACACAGCTACACTTTATGTAACTTAAAGATAAAAAAGTACCCTTGAATACGAATGATGAATGAAGGTAACGCCAGGTCCATAGGAAGTTAATGCTTCCCCCTAATAATGTGCTACATAGTTTTCGGCTTAACATTATAATACATAGAAATATGTTCTCATTGACAGACTTTGAAACTTTACCATATAGAATTCTTAATAAAAATTCTTTTAGATCCCATGGAATAGGTGTGAATGTATGCATGAATCTTCTTGTCTTGATCGAGAAGTCACATCTTTTTACTTATTCGCTTCAAATTCATGTTGTAAATGCGCTAAAGAAATTCAGTTGATTTTGATTTGGATTTGAGAGTTTTTTCGTAGTAGATTTTGCGTGAAGAAATTTGCAAGCATCTCAGTAACGGTATTAAGAGAACATATTACACTCGTATTGAACTTCCATAGACTTCGGCCTTTAAAAATGACGGAAAGTCCAAGCCCGTGATAATAGGTCTCGTTATAATGCATCAGGGCGTTTTCCGCTTTCTGTAAGCCGTTTTCCGCATTACCTTGCCGTGGAGCGCATTACCTTGAATTGGCCTATAAACGCTCATCGAGCTACTGGCAAAATTATAACAATGCAATATATAAAATATCGCTAACGGCTTTGGATTTCCGAATCAGAATTTGATAATATTTCTATGAAATAGTCAAATGGAAGGTCTGAACGCACAGTTCAAGTTTCATATAAGTAGACACAGGCTTTTGGCTCACAAAACTTAATTATTATTAAAACGTGTCGACGTACTAAGGGTTACATTAACTTTCGCTGTACGTATATAAATACAATGCTGTCGACGTATCATATGAGCCGTTGTCAAAGGTTTTACTTGCAGTTTTAAAGCGCAAACATTACTTTTCATGAATTGATAGCTAGAGGCATTTCCTTCGGAGGATCTTGACTGAACCATAAGTCACACATGAGACATCCACCCATTAAGATCATTTTTAAAACACCATTAGCTCGAACTCTTGAATCTAGTAATATCAATATCCTTTCCTCAGATACATTATATACACAAAAGTGCAATATAGGCTAGAATTGAAGCGGAAATGGAAATTAGTATGCTGATAGTTAAGTACACCCAAAGAAGTTATGTACAGAATTGAATGTGTGCATAGTTCTACAATGACGGCTACAAAGCATTGGTTATTTAGGCATGTAACGACAGGTTCGTTTTAGACATGCCTGACAAGATATGTGGTATAAGGTGTACGACGTACTGCCTATCCTCATTAAAAAAGGCATGGCATTTATTATGGCTAATTTTTAAGCAAGGAGAAATTGAAGTGGATAAGCGTTCTTTGAAAATTGTCTTTCGACTATTTACTTTCAAACATTTAACTGCAAAACAGTTTGAGAACGTTATATTAAGCTGAAACAGCAAAGAGCATATGCTGATGACCGGAGCGGTAAACACTAACGTTACACTGAGAACTGATTAAAAACAGTAGCGGCGACACAGTGGCTTTTAATGAAAAACCGCAACTTTCGGTAGTTTCGAGGAGTTAGCTTAAGTTGTATAAAAAAAATGTACGTAAAAAAATATAAGCGAACTGTCTCCTCCGCGGACTTGATAGAAGTATAGGTTGCATGGTTTGAGGCTGGTGTAAACTGTACGATGTGCTTAAAACCGCATCACAACACCAAATACCGAAAATCCTACTTCACCTATTGCAAAATAAATTCAAGAATTGAAAAATAAATTAATAATCTGAAATTTTCGCAAGCTGGTTCCATCTAGCAATTCTGTGCGTGTACCATATTTATTTCACTAGGATGGTAACTGATACAAAAACATACGACCGTTGGATATCGACAACTATTTGAAGGAGCGTGTTTTGCAAAGATAATTATCTCAGTTTGATTTTACTTTACAGCAGTGCGTGACACTGTAATAAGAGTCACAAACGCGGTGGACACCTGTGTGTAAGCCTATTTTTTTTACTAGATCTTACAGACTGGTTGTCCTATTTTAGTTTTATTATGCGTTTACCTTAGTGTGTTTGGTGTATTTTTTTGTTATTGTTTTGTAAAAGACGAGTAACATGCTTATGTTGAGGTCACAGGAAGAACATGCTAAGGTGGAGGGCTCAGCGGACTCTACACATATGTGCACAGACCTTCACTTAGCAGGAATGATGATGACTATATATATATATATATATGTGTGCGCATATGTGTAAAGTCCGCTGAGCCCTCCACCTTAGTATGTTCTTAGCAAAGGCATATATATATGTATATATATGGACGCTTTGAAACGCTACAACAACCGACTTATAAGCGGTATGCGAGTGACGTTCTATGATCTCATGATAAATATTCTTTATTGGCCTTATCTTCTTAATATAACAGATGAAGAACACTACATGATTAATTTCTCGCACTATTTACGCCTAGGTTTGGCTATCTGGTGTAGCGTGCGTGTTCATGGCTACATTTGCCATGTCATACGCATCAAAGTTCAGTCCTCGGGATAGGGTCCGCCGAAGCTCTTCGAAACAGGCAAACATCCAGACCTGGACAAAACCAAGATTTTCGTTTGGAGACATCTTTCATCTTGTTGCTTGCTGTGCTCTGAGGTATAGCGTAGTTTTGCACATATCACATTCTCCTAAGTACGTTTAGCTGTACGTTTTGTATAATGTAATATTTTAGTGGTATTCTTAGCAGATTTGTATAACGAACTTAGGGTTTGCACATGCAATGTTAAAAAAACAATCCAACACCATTGTGAAATTCCACATTAAAAGTGCAACTTAGTTTTTTATAATTTTAGTCTAGCGACCACTTCTCTTCTAAATTTATCATTTACAGGCGAAGCCATAGCAGTATTGTATCTAACTGTGTAAACATTTGCTGTTAAAACATTTCTGAATAGGCAACCGCCAATAAGCAAACGTCCACGTGGCGTAGCCACACGTTTCCTTACGTCCGTGCTTTGTTTTACATCGTTCGTCTTTTGGTCGGTGTATACAGCGAGACTAACAGCACAATTCGTGCAGCGTAGGATGCATTTCGACGAATTGCACGACGCTGGTGACCTTCTTAGAGTAAAAGGCATTCGTTTTGGATACGTGGCCAACACTTCTTCCCAGCTTTTTCTCCAGGTAAGCATGATTAAGATGATAAAGCAAATTGTTTACACAACAATGGCTATGATATTGAAAAAAATCGCTCAGTATAAATTGTTTGGTAGTTATGGCTCTCTATGAAATTTGACTATTATAACAGCTTATAGGATTGCTAATGTTATCGCTCTCATTAAAGAAATTTATCATACGAGTTTTGTGAAAGGTAACAACCTCACTGGTCTATAACTGAAGCGGTAATGAATTAGCACTTAAATAACGAGTTTCGATCGAAGCAATCGATGCAATTCGATAGCAATTAATTGCAATAACTGGAATTATTGATTCACTCAAACCGCACTATGATATTGCCACATCGAGAATAAAGACTAGTTGTATAGTAACAGCTAAATAGGATCAGTATCTAATTGTACTCTAACTCTAAAGTCTAAAGATTTTCTAATCTTAGAGTACAAAAAAATTACCACTATCTTAAATATACTATCATTGCTTTAAGTTTCAGTTAAGCATCATTTTGTATTCTGTTAGGGAAATATTTGCACTGTGTCGCTATTGTTGTAGCTAAACCTGCAGCGGCAAAAACACGGGGTTTATAGTGTTTTGTAGATATTAAACCTTTAGATGGTGTAAGGGAACCAACAAAGATGCTTCTGAATTCAAGTTGTTCTCAGCTGGCAAGATTTGGTTGTGGTAGAAATGGATAACAGCATGTATTTAAATTATAACCACAGGGCGCCAATTATGAACCGTTCTCGACAATCTGGTCGTTGATTATGGGTGCAGGAGACATTTCGACACTGCCATCACTTGAAGAAGGACTTCGTCTGGTGCAAGCCGGTGGTTATGCCATGTTTACAGAAACACCAGCAGCTGAATACCATCAGTGTTCTATTAGCGATTGTTCTGTGCTTCGTCTGGCCACAGGCATCGAAACACCTGGATATGCTCTGGCTTTGCCAAGAGGTAAAGCGTGTATGAAAAACACCGTACCTTAGACTAGCGTAGGTCTGTGAAGATCCACAAAAAGCTAATGGCACCTGCATTCTTAGCCTAATATTACGACTTTTCCTTTTGTCTCAAAATCGTTTCTGTTTGAACAGCGTCCCCCTACACGGAGTTATTTTCGCAAAGCGTACAGAAACTGCGGGAGAAGGAGGTGATCTCCCGGTTACAACGCAAGTGGTTTCTAACTCCGCACAGTTTAGTCGGAGCACCGCACCCATTCTGTAGGTCAGAGATTTACCGATGGGGCCAACTAACCGCCCCTGGCTTCGCAACGGGGCCATTTATTCTTCTAGGAGCAGGTGCCCTCGTTGCTGCATTACTTGCTCTTATCGAGTGTTGTTGTATCGCAAATGCGCGAAGGAAACGATCCCGCAAACAGTCGAGCAACAGTGTTGCAAACAAAAAGCCCAAAGGTCAGGTAAGCAAAATTGAATTTTTGCGTCAAAGTTTCCACGCTTCTTTAGTATATAGACTACAGGGAAATGATACTTACGACATGAGGTTAAGCGAACTGCTGGACTGGACTTTTAACCACTGGTTGAAATCAGCACGTCGTCTCTATCTTCAATTGAAACCATGCCTACATTTTCTTCTAAAATATGTAAAACTATGGCGAGTTTGCTACTTATCACGCAAGCGGGCCAAATCCGAAATTTTTGACAAGAACGGAGGGAGTTGCTCCTATCCAGAGTATTTATCATTATTTCAGGAAGACCTATATATTAAATAATTTCAAATAAGTACGATAGATTGCAGAAAAACATTTTTTGTCTATCATAACGAGTATCTATCAAGTGTCTGAGTTATACAATAACACAGTCATTATTTCTCTCTAAAAAAAATCTGGCTGAGCCGTTAAGATAAAAAAAAAAAGCGTCCACCTAACCCACACAAGTAAATATAGACAGGTATTAGTGGTTTAATGAGACATTCTGTATCATCGGATAAGCATTTTGGCAGTTGCATTCATCGCACCTATCAGGATTTGAACTAGCGACTTCATTCCATGTATTTGTTTGTTAGTTACAAATTGACAGATATTTTGCAAGAGACATTTGTGACCACTATTATTGCTTCATTAATGTTTATTTTCTCTAGATTACATCGATAACTCCCATTATGTGTTCTCCTGACTCTGCACATCAGCAAACCTGTGAGCCGAAACCACTTCCTAGGGACGGCCCGGACGATAACACCCAGATTGTAGCTGCAGTAACCACATTGTTGGCCGTGCCTTCGGCAACAGGTCCGATACCCCCTATGCCGCCGGCGCCTTCCGAGGATAACATCGAAATGATGCGGCAATGTCGCACGTTAGACCTGCATGCATTACCTAATATTCTGCCACCGGCCACAATGGACCTTTACAATAATATCAACACTATGCCTATCAGCGCCACCACGGCTGAGTCGGTGATTCTGACGGGCGGTGTTCCCGCAACAAGGTAGCAGAGGGAGGAGGGCAGCGTAGTTGTGGCTAACACACTGCCTTCTAGCCACAACCTAAGTTCACGCCCCCAGGAGCATGTCAGAACGGTTAAACCGGTTCAGCAACAAACCACATCGATGCAACAACAGCCTCAGCCAATATGCGCCGCTACGGGCACCGACAAATCTCGCCTACTACTGCTCAAGACATTCATGTAAAAAGAGACGACATGTCGTAATGAGTTATTTAATCAAAAAAAAACAAAAATAGAAAAACGAAAACAACAGGCCTTCAAGTAGCTTATTGCCGATTGGGAAATTCGCTAATCTCATGAGGTATATATATATATATATATACACATCTTGCACACAAGGTTTCTTTTCACTTCAATTTGTTGTACACCTGTCGCCTAGAGTAAAAAAGTAACTTTTGGGAGTCGTCTAAATGTGCAGACGTTTACCGGCAGCCTCCTTATGAACTCACGTGACAATGTTTAGTAAATGTGAATTGCTTGAACCCAAACATTTAAACATTGTGTGCTCATCTACTTGAGGGGCGTTCATACTCCAGACATACGTGTGTTATCTATTCATTCATCATTCATACTCACCCTTCACAGCGTCATTATTCACCATTCAGTGTAACGTTCCCGTGCCAATATGAATGGTCCTATTTGACCCTAAATATGCGGTAGGTAATCAGAAACATATAAAACCTTCGTCATTTTCCCGTATAATTCTTCATGCAACTAAGGCAGTGCGCAGTCAAACATCATAAAAAATCCAGTTAAATGTACGTACCCTGCGGATGCTCGCATGTGTCTCTTTGGTCTGTTCAAATTTTCACAACACTAACTTTCTCGTTCGTCGTTGTTCGTGTTAACGTATTCGTCATCGTTTCGACGCGTCGCAGGACATTCCGGTTTCGGCAAGAGAGCAACTCGAACATTGTACCGCACAGCGTTCGCTTACCTTTCCTTTACAATGGAAAGGAAGGACGTCGATGGACCGTAGGTCACTACTTGTGCTTGTTTCGACTTTTGTCTGTTGTAGGAGAGCGTAGTAACGAGTCAAGGTCAGCCTGCGTAACCTGTTCTGTTTCCTTTCGCCGTTTTTTCAGTGTCTTATTCTTCATTCTATGCATTCTATTACCGAAGAGGCCGATAGAATGTCATTACGGGTGTGCCGGATCTGCTTTTGGAAACGTTCGTGCGACATGTTAAGCTATTCCAACACAACAGTAAGGAAGGCAGTAGAGATGGTGGCGCGATGGCGCAGTGTTTCGAAGGCCGAACACTAGACTTGGAGCTGTCAGAGATAGAAAACCGACGAGCAGAGGTTGAGCACTGATTTTCTTGTCAATTTGGCAGAGAAGCGCTCAGGAAGAGCCCAATGCTATTTGTCTGTTCGTGATTTAGGAAAGGCAGAAAAGCACCACCCCCAATCTTTCTTGACTCCTTCCTCCGCTGAACCCCTACGTAGTGACAGTATTATCACTTTTCAGCCAACATGACTACTGCGAAGCTTCGCTCAGTTTTGCACATCCTGGCACTTTTTCGAGGGCCATGCGTAGCAAGACCAACGTGATGGCTTTTTTTCCGTCAAGGAGACCTCCTTATCGTTCCACTAAGGGTAGCAAAGAGTTAGCCAGAATTCAAGTAGAATTGTCATGTTCGTTTTCTCTGACTCCCTCCATAGTCTTCCTCTCCTGCTTTGGCCTCAAATAATTTCAGCTTACCATTCGACGACTGCTGCCGCCGTTATCGTTTTCGTCGTTGTTAAATAATTACTACATATAGATGTGTATTGTTGATGTGATTGTAACGACGCGTTTTGGCACGGTCACGTAATCTCACACTTGCAGTTATGTTTCATATCACGTGTACATAAACAGAATGTGCTTTTCCAGAAGGTTCGTTCCATAAGCCACATTATAAAAGGACCGTGCAGGGAGGGTCAACCCTAGAGCGGCTGTACGGTGAAGCGATATAGATTGGCAGACCTCTGTCTGTGCACAAAACTAACCAAGTGGATACCGTGGTGGTGTCCTTAGGGTTTTTAAGGAAAGAAAATGAATAGCTAAAATAACAAATTACGGAGAGAGGTGCATGAACTACGTGAAATATATCTCAAGATGAAGGGTTTGAATTTAATAATATGTATGTAATATATTATTAAATATATGTAAAGATATGTAATAATAAAATATGATTTTTCAATACCTTCTGTTTTATAACTGTATATATCAGTATATAACTGTTTTCAAAATTCTGGACAAATATTCGTGTATGATAAACCTTTAGAAATAATAAATATAAGCTTAGTAAATGGAAGAACCATAAGAAAAGTACTATCTGAATTTAGCTATAAAGAGCCATCTTTGGACAGGGGCAAATGGCTCTTATCTTCCTTAAGGAATTTGATTTTGTACAAAATAGAACTTCACGAATTATGACGTCTACAAAAATCAAGTTCAACGCAGCATGACCTTCCTTCAATAGGAATTCTCACGTAACTTTTTGGAATAGAAAGCTACTACTACTTTAGAATATCATTCGAAATAAGGGACGACCCACGTGCACAGTCTGTGAGATACGGTGCAGTTAAGTCCCTTTCCATGGTTAGCTGTCTACATAATAGAAAACCAAGAAAAGACAGCAACATCGTAGTATATAAGATAAAGCTTATCCATTTGACAGCGCAATGCTTGTTACGGTCTCGTACTGAGGATCAGCGCCCACATTGATAGTAGATAGAAATATTCTGTTTGATCCAGCTGTGGAAACACTTTAATTTTTCAATGGCAAAGAAAGAGAAAATCGGACAATGTTCTGCTTACCCGGCCGTGTTGTTGTACACTACAGCGTAACCGAATAATTAATTTTTAAATAAATTAACAACAGGATAAGCATTGCTATTATGACGATTTTTTTTTACATATCGCGTTTATATCGTATGCACACAGATTGTCATAAAAGGCAACGCAAGTTTTTAATACTACTTTCTGACTTTATAGGTAAATTATATATAACGACCTTCATCTTGATCAAATGTTCTAACCATGGGCAGCGTACCAAATATCTTGTTTCCTAAAAGACAATAGGGTATCGACTGAAGTTCCCCAAATTTTGCTTGCGAAGGCAATTAGTGTGCTAAATATTTAGAAGATTGCAAAAGCATATACTGAATAAGAAGCCGCTTCCCGAGCACATTCAAATCCAAATTCATTGTGCCATCTAGAAACTCATGGGCACTTCGAACCGACAATGTCTGTAATTTACTGCTAATATTAACAATTTGTTTGTAAATTATGCAATCAACCTGGCTTTCAATGACATTTTTCTTTTTAAAATAAATAAAAAAATAAAAATAAAATTGGAGCTACTAGAAAAAAGTAAGATCTAAAAAGTGACAGAAAATATCATTAAAATTGAAGTTTAAACAAACTTTATGGAGGTGTAGAATGTACGTAGGTTTTTCGAAAGATCACTTCAAAAGAGGTGAAATATGATAATTTCGACTTTGAAATACGTATTTTCCGTTTTATGGCGACATTATCGGAATTTATTAATTCCTGGGGTTAGTTCTTAGGTTGATAAATCTCGCACTTATGATACGCAAGCCCATTGATCAACATTAACTAAGTCACAAAACTTGAAAGATGTATTGCATCTGTTTACATCGTAAATGTCTCGAAGCACCAAACCTAGATCTTCATAACATTTTATATAATAATGAAGTCTTTATTACTCAATTATGCAGGCGAACTTTTATAGCCTCTGCATCATTACCATATAAATATCATCAACACTTTAACAAACAAGTATATTCATTTGTTTCTATAATTTTGCTAACGAACTTTGGATGTATACTAAAGTTACTCGAAATTTTCTAATATTCACATCTCAAGTTTAGTGAACAAGATTATCAAGCACTGGCAAAACAAAGTTTTTGCAAGCCAACAAACAAAACAAGCTTACCATAAATTTAACGGTTACAGATTGCAGTCAACAGCTAGAAATTTAGAGGATGCTTTTCTCAGATGCCATTATAAGATACCATTGCACGTTTTAGGTTACATACGTTTACATTTTTACATTCCTTCCAAATTGTACAATTATAATGCTTAATGTAGAATGTCATCAGGTGTATTTACGGTTGCACAAAGGATGACAATTTTCGCGACATACTACTGTCTTTTATTCAGTCTTTGTTGTCCATTACAGAGCAATATGACATTCACCGGACGATCGTCGATGTGCGCTAAAGAAATTGACAATATTCTTATATGGAAAAAATGTGTAGACATGACTGTCATTTGCGGTAGTGTTTGTTCGCTCGAAAGAAGATCTTAGTGCTTTTGCCGTTCCTGATCACTTTGGCCATGCTAACCGAGCCACCGGTCGAGTTAAAAAAACATGTGGAGAAACGAATTGCTGTCTATGCTAGGATGTTTTTAATTTTTCTGAACTATCTCTAGTATAACGGATAGATGAGGCGTTTATTTAGGTTAAGATACTGTTTAAGAAACATTTTGGATCTACTCGATGAATGAAGAGTGGATGGAGAGCAAAGGTTTCAATAGCAGCCAAGAGAAGGGGAAAAAAAACTGGTGACAAGGGGTTGTCAGGTAGTGGACACATCCCTTAAGTCAATTCATTCAAAATCGGTCTGCACGAGAACGGAGCAGCTGATTCAGCCAACATGGCCAGAACGGACATGTAGTTCCAAAAATGCTCCAATTTTCAAAGATTGCTTTCACAGTAGTCTACCCTTTCATTCCAGTTGGCAGTAGATACAAATGGGTCAATGCTAGTTGGAGAGAAGCATGATACGCTGATTTGTGTCTTCAAATGGTACCTTGTTGAGTTCGCTCTCATTGACTAATTAAGCCCGATCTAATTCCCTTAAAGTAAATAGGGCCCTCCTGTATATAAAAACTAAATGTTTCATTTTTTTTGCGTCGCTTCATACCCAGATTTTATAATCCTTACCAATGGGTATGTTAAACAGCACCAAAATATCAAAGCTGGCGGTACCCTTTTATGGGATGTTCCAAATTAATATTCGATGATCTAACTTTTTGGTGTTTGAGTTGCAACAAATAAAGTATTTTGCATAAGTTGGTGGGGTCTCTGACTGACCCAAAGCTACGACGCTTCTAAATCACTTACGGTCTGTCGGGTTTAAAGAATATTCGCCAGCATCATTTTTTCCAATTCTTAATATACAAACTACTGTAGCCAATCAAGGCAATGGAAATTGGGTTGTTGTCACATCTAACCCCAAACTGGGTCTGGTAAATTATATTTCTTTTTCTTAAACGATAAACCATGCAATGTATCAAAGATGATTTTTTTTTTCAAACCTTTCCGACAGAAGAAATTGAGTCTGAGCGGTCACTAAGTTAAGAAGCAATTTCCGATAGTACTACTGTTTTCTGATAGGGCGGATTGCGGCGGTGCAGGACAGGCTTTTCACAACGGAAAGAAGATGAAACCTGGTAACTTTCGTTTAAAGCCAGTCAGCTTGCCCAACAGATGTCAATGGCAATGGAGTTTTTTTTCGTGTTTGCTACCCAGTAATAATCCTCCAAGCTATTATCCTCCAAGCGTCGATATTAAATAAAAGATTTCGCTATCCACTCAAATAGTATCTTTTGATTACTTTTGATTGACTAGATATGAAACAGTTGGGCACAGCGTATCATATATCGAAAAATAAGGAGTGAAGTCCATATCTGACGTTTATCTTGGGTTTTAACACGAGCACTGTCCCTCAAAGCTATACAAGACCATTGCATAACAA